CTAAATTCTAAAGACTGGGGACTGCCCGCAGGGTCGGTTCACAGTCAGATCCTGCTGGACATTGGAATGTGGCCCTATCTTGCGATAGCGATAACACAGAAGCAGAGCTCAGCGGTTAGTCTCTAAAGGTTATCTACAGTTTCTATCCCTGAAGCTACTGAGTCAGTGGGAATCAATCTCCTGTGGGCCTGGTCCCAGGCAAGGGAAAACTGCCTTAGCCTCCAGGTCTTCACCTGGAAGCTGAGGTAAGTAGCCAGTGTTTTAATCAGATGCAAGAACCAGACTTAGCAGGGTTAAAATTCAAACAGCAGTTTTTACCAAAGTATGGTTGCCACTATATTTCATTTAAATAAATGAAACGGAATTGCTATTTGTCCTAACCAGTTTGGCTCAGTGGACTGAAAGGTCCCAGGTTTGATTCCGGCCAAGGACATGTTCCTTGGTTTCAGGCACATCCCCAGTAGGAGGTGTGCAAGAGGCAGCTGATCCATGTTTCTCTCTCATCCATGTTTCTAACTCTCTATCCCTCTCTCTCTATAAATAATCAATAAAATATATATTTTTTAAAATAAAACGGAATTGCCCTTTGACCTGTGATTCTACTTCTGGGAATATATCCTAAGAATCTTGAAACACCAATCAGAAAGAATATATGGACCCCTATGTTCGTAGGAGTGTTATTTATAATAGCCCCAATCTGGAATCAGCCCGAGTGCCCATCAGTAGATGAATGGACAAAACAATGATAGTACATTTACACCATGGAATACTACTCAGCTGTAAAAAAAAAAAAAAAAAAAAAAAAAAAGGAACTTGGGAAATTATTACATTAAGCAAAATAAGCCAGTTGGACAATATATACCATATGATCTCAAAAATAAATACCATACGATCTCACTAATATGTGGAATCTAAGGAACAAAATAAACTGATAAACAAAATAGACCCAGAGGCATGGATACAAGGAACAGACTGACAAATGTCAGAGGGAGGGGGGAGGCAGGGAGGACTGGGTAAAGGAAGGTGAAGGATTCGCTAGAGAACATACATGGATAGCTCGGGGACACAGACAACAGTGTGGGAGGCCACGGGGGGAATGTGGGGGCTGGATGGAGGAGGGCAAAGGCGAGAAATGGGGGACATCTGCAATGGTGTCAACATTAAAAATTTTAAATTAAGATGGGAAGTAGGTGTGTTGGACTTTGTTAGGTGGCAGGCCTCAGACACACGGAGGTTCACTTGGATTGGCCCAGAGAGGGTGTGTCCCAGCTGCCCATCTGGGGCTGTACTCCACCTGTCACCCCCCCCCCTCCCCCATTCCACCAAGGAACCTGGTGAGGAAGGTGATCTGAGGGGCCCCTCCTGGAAGGGACCCCCTCTTTTCCACAGACGGGAAACAGAGGGGAAGTGACCTGGCTTCTGCTAAGCCTGCTGGTGTCAGAGCCAGAGCAAAGGCCCGAGTCACGGACTTCCAGTCCCATCCCTGTTCCCTTCCACCATCCAGTCCCATCCCTGCTCCCTTCCACCATCCAGTCCCATCCCTGCTCCCTTCCACCATCCAGTCCCATCCCTGCTCCCTTCCACCATCCAGTCCCATCCCTGTTCCCTTCCACCTTGGGAGTGTCTCACCTCAGACTTGGAGCCTCTAATTACCCCCTCTCCCCGGCCCGTATACACACACACACACACACACACACACACACACACACACACACACACGCCTCTGGCTGAAAGTTGGGGGCGGGGACGGCTCCCGAGTGGCAGTTTTCCATCTTTAGATGCCCTTCCTACCTGAGCAGGTGGGAAGGACGTGGCTGGGAGGCGGCAGTGCAGGGAGGAAGTGCTCTGGAGTCCAAAGGGACTCAGGTCTGCATGCTGGCCGCTGGCTCCCCATCTGCCACATGGCTGCGGTAACACTGGGTGTCCTAGCTCCCTGGGTGTCCCCATCTCTTAGGAACAGACTCACACTGACTCTAGAAAGAAACAAAGGAAGCTGGTGCCACTGGAAGGGCTGCTGGTGGGCAGGGGAGGGAGATGCGTGTTGCGCCCATTGAAGAAGTAAGTACTTACCTATGAGTGATTTTTTAATTTTTTAATTTTTAAAAAATATATGTTTTATTGATTTTGTACAGAGAAGAAGGGAGAGAGATAGAGAGTTAGAAACATCGATGAGAGTCATCGATCAGCTGCCTCTTGCACACCCCCTACTGGGGATATGCCCACAACCAAGGTACATGCCCTTGACTGGAATTGAACCCGGGTCCCTTCAGTCCCCAAGCCGATGCTCTATCCATTGAGCCAAACCATATAGTGCCTGGTGCTCAATGTAAGCGCTGGTTATTTTGATAAAGAAGTTTCACACAGGCCCCGCTCCTGACCATCTCTTTCCCTCAGCTTCCCGTTTGAGCGCGGGCTGCAAACCCGAGGCAGGTGGCGAACATGTGGGCTTCAGGTCCCTGTGCCCCCCGCTTACTAGTTGGGTGGCTTTGGTAGCTGTTCTGCCTCAGTTTCCTTGGTAATAAAGGACAAGAATGGTCCCCATCGGGGCCATCAGGATTTAATGAGAGCAGAGCTGGGCATGTGCCCGGCACAGCGTGGAACACACCTCATCATCGGGGCCATGTCACCCACATTTGACAGATGAGGAATGGGAGGCTCGAGGGGCAGAGTAACGTGTCGGCAGTCACTCAGCTGGTAACTGGTGAAGCCAGGACCACACCCAGGCAGTCTGGTTCCAGAGTGGGCGCCCCTAACCACCGCACCTCCCAGCCTCTCCTGCACACATCACATATTCAGAGCGCCAGGCACACGGAAACTGCTCTGTAAGTCACAGCTGTGACTGTGGTTGATACAGGCTAACACACACTTTCCCAGGTCACTTGGTAAAACACTTTGGGGCAGGGCTATGGGACAGCTCCTACCTTCTGGAGGCGGGGAAGCATTTAGCCAAAGGACCGTGCGGTGCTCAAAGCCTGGGAGGGATTCTTGCCTCGGTTCTCCCACATGCACATATTCCATAGCCAGGCCTCATAGCCCCAGGGCAATGACATACTCCACACCCCTGCTCCTTCTGAGCTGAGGACGGCTCAGACACCAGCCCAGAGACACCCCCGGAACCTAAGGAAGCCAGTGTCCACAGTTACAACCACTCCCACCACCTGCCAGACAGGCTGCAGGACCGGCCCCTGCCAGAGACGAGCTGTTCTCTCCTCTGGTCAGTGCTGCCCATGTGGGGCGCCCACAGGGGCGTTTGTCAGTCTCCCCCGATCCCACACATGCTATGGCCAACTCTGTGTTAATGAAGGCCAGGCTAAGGTACCCCCGCACGTCAACTGGATTAGGCCTTGGCTTACACACACACACACACACACCATACCACAAACACAACATACACACAAGGCTCAGAATTAACACCCAGCCTCACCCACAAAACCCAGTTGGGTGGAGGGTGAGGGACCCAGGCCACCATGGATAAAGCATTAATCAGATAATCTGATTATGAATGATTGAGCTCATGGTTAGTGTCCATGTCTAAAGCCACTGAGTGAAATTCCAAGTAGATTTCCAAGGGAGAGAAAGGCTCAAGCGGCTCAGGCCTCATTGCCCATCCACAGAGCCACCCATGCACACACACACCCACCCGGTAGGTGGTTCCTCCTCTAGGCCCACCCCCTGCCCCCATCCCCATCATACCTGGAGACACAGGGGCCGTGACTGGGAGGGGTGCGGGCAGAGGGTTTCAGGAAGTCAGGTCCCCATTTCCCAGCCTCAGTGGAGCACACTCTGTGGTGTTCCCAAGTGAGGGGAACAGCTTTCATGTAAGGCTGCCATCCAGCTAAGGCAAATCCAAATCTTTTGGAAATGTTCCTCCCACTCACTGCTCCTCCTGGGGAGGCCTAGTCTAGACACCACCAGACTTCACCTCCTCCCAGAGGAATGGAAAGCAGCCCCTCCTGCCCAGCTGGGGGTCCTGCGCCCAGCACAGCTGAGGATGACTCAGCCCAGATCAGTGGCTGGTGATGGCCCAACTCTCCTGGAGAGGAGGGGAGGGGAGGGGAGGGGAGAGGAGGGGAGGGGGAAAGGAGAGGAGAGGAGGGGAGGGGAGGGGAGGGGAGGGGGAAAGGAGAGGAGAGGAGGAGAGGAGAGTGAGAAGGAGGAGGAGAAGACTGAGAAGGAGAGGGGAGGAGGGGGGAGGAGAGGAGAGAAACAGAGAGGGAGAGGAAGAGGGAGAAGGAGGAGAGGAGAAGGAAAGGGAGAGGAGGAGGGGAGTAGAGAGGAAGAGAGGAGGAAAAAAGAGGAGAGGGAGAGGGAGAGGGGGAGAAGGAGAAAGAGGAGAAGGAGAAGGGAGGGGAGGGAAGGGGAGGAGGGGAAGAGAGGAAGATAGGAGAGGAGGGAAGAGGAAGAGGGAGAGGGAGAAGGAGAGGGAGAGGGACAGGAGGAGAGAAGAGGGGAGGAGGGGAGAAGGGGAGGAGGGAAGGCGAAGGGGAGGAGGAGAGAAGAGGGGAGGAGGGGAGGAGGCCTAGAGAGCCAGCCTGCAAGCACAGGTGCTGCCACACTCTGGGCCTGACCCGGAGAAATAAAGGAGCTGGAGCTCAGACAGGGCCGCTGTTTGGTTGTGAGAAGAGGAAGGAGCCTCAGGTGGACAGAAGCAGCGGGGAAGTGTGTGTGTGTGTGTGTGGGGGGGGCACAGCTGCAGGGAGGGCACAGCTGCCACAGCAGAGCCCCTGCTCAGAACCCAGGACCCACCCGAACTCCTTCTCCCTCGCAGTCTGTATGAAACGCTCCTTGGAAGCCTGCATGGAGGACACAGCCAGGCCACACCTGCTAAGCCCCGTCCTGCTGCAGCGCCCGCCTCCCACGGTAGTGCTCACAGACACGGAGCTGTTCTTCATGAGACCCCAGGCAAGTGGGTGGGGGGTGGTATCTGGGAGCCTGGTCCGTCCGTGTCCCCGTGGTGGGGGAAATGGGAGGCAGGGACGCGGGAACTCGGGCGCGGGTACCTGTATCCTGTCTTCCGGCAGCTCCGTCTTCATGGCCAGCATCTCCCGGGCATAGACGTCTGGGTAGTGGGCCTCGTTGAACGCCTTCTCCAGCTCCTCTAGCTGGTAGGAGGTGAAGATCGTCCTGCGCGGAGCAAACGGGGACTCAGGGCCCTGCAAACGGACGGGGCTGCCCCAGAGAGGACAGAACGGCCCTCCCCTGTGCCTCTCGGACAGACCCCAAACCCAGGGGCTCAGTACAGTCAGACACACACACACACACACTCTCCCATATGCACGTGCATGCACACGTGTTCGCACACACTCAGCTTCACCCTCTGACTTTTCTTCTTCCAAGGCTGAGGATGCCCAGGGCCCCTCTGATGGGGGATGGGTTATTTCAGCCCTCGGGACATCTCATGATAGGGATCTTTCTGGAAGAGCTTTTGGGGGAAGGGTGCTAGATAGACATTGGAGAAGACGGCGGAGGGCTCCTCTTCCCCCTCCCACGCACAGGCCACAGGGCGAGGGGCACCAGGTAAATAATGCCTCGCCCCCTAGGACCTGCTCCCTGGCTCCTCTCAGACATTCACATCGCACTCACCCCAAGATCAAAGACAGCTGCGACCCCACTATTTATGCAACCGAGGACTGACTGTCCCTCCCCAAAGGCCCACCCAGCACTCCGCCCTCCTCACCTGCCCAGCTCCACCAGCTCCTTACAGCTGCTCTCGGGTTGTAGGGGTGAGGACTATGACGGGGAGGGAACACCATCCTTCCACCCCCCTCCCCCCACACACACACAAGCTGGGAGGCACACCCAGGGGTCCCATCCGGGGGAGTTCCACTCAGGTCGCCCTGAAATAACCTGCCTCCACAGCCCCCCACCTCCACTGAGCAGTTCACCTTGACCTATTTTGGGTCTGACTGCTTTAAGAATCTGACAAAAGCTACATCCTCTCGCCCTAGGAAGACGTGCAAACGAATATGCTCCGGCACATAAAATTTCCCTTCCAATCCTAGGGGGTTCATAGACCTCCTTTCTTGAATAAACACACTACCCATCCACTTCCAGGCACAAGTTCTTTTTTCAGACCTGAATGTCACCGAGTTCTAGGTGGCCTTTATGTCATCGACAAGCCAACAGGCAACAGAGTCCAGATGCCACACACTCAGCCCGTAAACATGGTGCCCTCCTCGCTGCAGCCCCGGGGCCGGGGCCGGGGACAGCACCGGGGTTCAGAATCCCCAACGGCCGCCCTCACGCTCCCAACACAGGGACAAGGGCAGGGCTCAGCCCTCCGTTCCCGGGGCGGGTTTGTCTCCAGGATCTCGGGGTCTGAGGCAGGGGACCGTGAGGAAGAAGGATTCTGCTCCTCGCAGAAAACGAAGGGTTTGATTCTAAATTGTTTCTCCTCTCCTCTTGGGGGTGGTGATGAAAGGCTTATGCAAACAGAAAGTTATTTCTTCAGAATTCTGAAGGCACTCTGTTTCTCTCTTGCCACTTACTGAAAGGTCCCCTCCACCCGGTGTCAAAACAAACAATCGCAACGTGCGCGTCCTTTGCAAAACGAGGGAAACAGAAGCAAGCACATAGGCAGGTGCTGTGGCCGCAGCCCAGCCCAAGAGAAGAGCTGACAATAGGCTGGCTAAGACCCCCTTCAAGTGCACGTTCTTTGCTTAGGAGAGCTCAAGCTTGCACTCAAAACACAAAACCAAGCCTCAACCCCCCCTAACTCCCCCTCATTCCTGTCTCAGAGCCAGCCCGGACTCCCCAGAACCCTCCCACAATGTGACCCCAAAAACCTGCTCCTGGCTTTCTGCAGCAACCCAGAGTCCCCCTGCCTGAGCTTCCTGGGCACAGAGAGAGGAAAAGCATTGACTCCCAAGGCTGCTGGCCCCTCCTCTCTCCCCTCTCCAACCCCCATAATCCTGGGGTGTTTCTGGGGAATAAGCGATGCCCGGCTCCCCTCACCAGATTCCAAGGGCTCTTCCCTGAAATCTCCAAACGAGGGAAGCACAGAATAACGTTTGTGTTGTTTTTTAAAAACTAATTAAAAACGGCACTGGCCATCAAACCGTTCTCCTCTCTCCAATAGTCGGCTTCCTTCAGGCACCAGACATAGCCAGAAACCTAGGGCAGGCGGCGAGCTGTCCCGTCCCCCTGAGAACCCGCCAATGCTCCCATAGGATCCCTGGGATCCCTGGTGGAGAGGGTGGCAGGTGAGGACAGAGGGTCGGGAGGCTGAAGCACGGCCTTTGGGCTGGGGGTCAGCCAGCTCCAGGTGCCACCCAGGGAGTGGGGCATGCTTTCCCCGGGGCTCTGCTGGCTCCGGGAACCCTTTCTTCCTCCTTCCCCCTCGCACCAGCGAGAAGCAGTTCAGCCGGTCAGTCCTTCCCTGGCGGTCTGGTCCCTGTCTGGGGACTACCCGGGGACCAGCATGCCGTGGGTGCGAAAGAAATGTTTTAATGAATATTTGTTGGGTAAACGAATGTAAAAAACAAACAAACAAAAAAAAAAAAACCCATCCAGGATCAGGACTAAAATAAAATGTTTCCATTTAAGATAAAATAAAACAAACCGAACAAAGCCTAACAGCTGACTGAAGAGAAGGAATAAACCAAGGCCATGGAGACACCAAGTCAAAGTTCACTGGCACTCAGGCGGGAGCCTGCTGGGGTCGGAGGGCTCAGGAGGAGCCCTGTTAGAAGGTGGGGGCCAGGGGTGCCATTTCCCAGGGTTAGGGAAGAGGGAACCGCAGCAAAGCGCCTGGAGAAAGGGTGCGATGAGGCGAGAACAAACTGGGGTGAGAGAACCAGGAGGCACGGGGAGAACGGGGAGGGGTCCACGGGGTGAGATGGCCTGAGAGCCGGTGGCGCGCACCGGGCCCCCGCGGAGAGAAGTTTGGGGGACAGATCCGGTGAGCGCGGGGACAGCGCCTGGAAGCAGCCCAGGCAGAAAGTCGGGCAGATGTTTGGTTCTCGATGCTGCTTTCTTTCCTTTCAAAGCTCCTGGGGAATTCACACCAGCACCTGGAGCTGGTGGCCAGGGGGGTGCGGCCTGGGGCGAGGGGCCCGGTGGGCGCCAGTGGCTTCCTTTTCAGGACAAACCTTTTCCTTTCGAAGAAGGGATTGGATTTTAACTTTGTGTAAGCGATGCCTATTTAAAGACATTTGTAAAGCTCTCTTGGTAGCTGTACCCCGGTGCAGCCCACTGCCCTCAGGCGAAGTCCACACATTGCCCAGTCTTTCCCCATTTTACAGACAAGGAAACTGAGGCTCAGAGGAGGGAAGCTACCTTCAGGACCACAAGCCTGACGACCATTTCCCATCAGTGCAGACGGCGCGCCCAAGCTTTGGGGAAAGTGGGAGCGAATGCCAGCCCAGAGGCCGCGGGAGAGGAGAGCGGGCCGGGCGGGAGGTGGGAGCCGAGCTGCCAGTGTGCGTGGCTCTCGGATGCGCAGGATCCTGGACAGGACCTGAGGGCTGCCAGCCGCTGTCCTGTCCGGCTCTGGGGCCTTTCCTATCTCCCAGAGGAGAGGAGAAAGCCTGGCTGGCCCGGGGCGCCTCCCTGGCGGCCTCTCCCCGTCCTCCAGGGGGGCGGCCGGCGCCAGGGCCCGGGGGTCCCCAACAGCGCCCGCTCCCCAAGCCCGGGAGCGGCCTGGGACCTCGGATCTGAGGGCGGCGAAAACGGGGTCCGAGAACCCCGAGCCCACCGGGGACGCAGGGCCGGGGTGGAGGCGGCGGGAGAGCCGCCGGCCTTACCTGTGCCGCCGCTTCTTGCGCTTCTTGGTCTGCGCCAGGGCCGCCTTGGACAGCTTGCGGTCGCTGGAGGACACATCCTCAGAGTCTGGGAACGGACAGAGACGTGCGGCAGCCCGGGGGGCGAGCACCGGGAGCCCCAGACCCAGGGTCCCAGCCTTCTGCCAGGCGGACCCCATCCCCAAGCCCAGGCTGGCGCTGCCCGTGCCGGCGCCCTGATCGCAGGTTTGGAGCGGATTTCGTTGTAAGAGAGGCCGAGGCCCGGCGCTCCGGGGGCAGGGACAGCGGGAACCAGGCCGCTTCGGGGTGCCGGGGAGACCCCGGTGGCGCTCCGGGCTTCGCGCCCTGCCCCGCGCTCGCAGCCCCGTTATCCGGGGACTGAAAACTGGCCCCCGGAGAGGGACCGGGGCGCAGGCAGCGGGCGCGGGGCAGGGCCGGGCTCCTCCGGCGCCGCGGCCCCCAGTTCGGTGCCGGCACAGCGCGCCCCCGCTCGGGGCCGGAGACGCCGCGCCGCGGCTCTTTTCGTTGTTGTTCTTTTTTTTTCCCAAATAAAAATAAATAAAACGGTAACGGAAAATCGGGGATTGTGGGAGGTTTGGAGCACCCCAGGAGCCGGAGGCCGGAGCGGGCGGGACGCTAGGCCGGGACAGGGGTCGGGGCGGGTGTGGCCGGGCCGCGGACCCCCAGGCGCCGGGATCCCACACGCAGAGGCGCTTAGGGGGGATCCGACCGTGGGCGACCCAGCCGCTTCGGTGGCCTGTTGTCCAAGCTCATGGGGTGAAAACAAACAAACCAAAAACAAACAAACAAAAAAACCACCCACAAACCCTGACAAAACCGGGGAGGGAGTTTGGGATGGAGGCAAGAAAGGAAAAGACAACTTTGGGCGCCTGGGCCGGGGCGACGCTGGCACCCGCCCGGGGCCATCAGCGCGCGGAGGAGAGCGCAGGTTCTCCCAGAGGCCGGGCCACCGCGGATCAGGGAAACCGGGGCCCCAGCCGCCCCCAGGGCTCTGACACCCCCGCCCGTTTCCAGGGGGGCCCCCAACCGGGCACCGCGCCGGAGCCAGGACCGGCGCGGGGAGAGGACGGCGCCGGGGCAGGAAGCCTGGCGACGCCCGGGGCATCCTCCCGGCCCCAGGCCCGGGGCTCCCCGAAACTTCTGCGCCCAAAGGATGGCCTAGCGGTGCAAGCGAGAGCCGGCGGCGGGGGTGGGGGGTCCCTGCTCCGGCCCGAGGCGGGCAGCGCCCTCACCTACCCGAGCTGGCCGTCTGGCTGGCGTCCAGAGGCCCCGACGCCCTGCCCAGCGGCTGCAGGTGGACGCTCTGCGGGTCGGACAGCACCTCCAGGAAGGTGGGCTGCGCGTAGAAGCCGGGGAGCCCCCCGGGACCTAGCAGCCCCATGCCGCCCACCCCCGCGGGGCTGAGCACGGAGCGCGCCGCCAGCAGGTGCCCCGAGGCCAGGCCGTCGAGGGCGGCGCGCGGGTGGGAGCTGGGGGGCTCCTTGTTCAGGCCCAGGATCTCCTGGATGCCGAAGCCCGTGCACCGGGCCGGGGCGCTCCCCGGGGAGCTCTTGGCCACCGTCTCGCATTTGGGCTTGTTCAGCGCTTCCCCCGATTTCCCCGTCATCTCCCGGCTCTTCCTTCGCAGGGGCCGCGGCGCCGGTCTCCAGCTCCCCCCGCCCCACCCCCGCCGGGCTCGCCGCTCCGCCAAGTTGGTCCCAGATGCCCCCTCCGGTGTCTGATGCTCTGGAGCCCCAAGGAGATTCCCCTTTTATCCAACCAGGCGGCAGCCCAAGTGGGGTCAGAGCTGAGCAGCCAATCGCTGGGGCCAGGAGCGATTAGGAATTCCAAAAAGCTGGCAGCGCCAGGGGCCAGGGCGCCGGGGGCGGGCCGCCCAGGGGCAGGGACCCGGAGCCTGAGCTGGCACAGAGTGGGGCCCCTGGTCCAGGAGGTTGAGCGGATGGGTGGGATTCTGGCAGAGCCTGGCTGGGACCTGCCCCTACAGTGGGTGGGAGGATAGGCTGGGGCAGATGTTGGAAACCTGACCCCCCATCCTCAACTCTTTTGCAGGTTGGAAGGGTCTAAGAAAGCCTAAATATAGGACCCCTGGGTGACAGGCAGAACAAGGGAAGGGCAAGAGCCCTGGTCAGGGTTGTGAGGGGTGAATGGGGGGTAGAGAGAAGGAGATGGGTATGAAGAAAGCTCAAGGCTTTTCTTCCCAACTCTGATTCAGAAGAGCTACTCAATCAATATTGGCTGGATGAATAAATAAATGATAAGAGGGCCAGGAATGGGGGTCCCGGGTGGGAAAGAAGAGAAGGGGTGACTTCTTTTGGATAACAGCCCTGGATGTCTGAGCATCTTCCTATAGTAAGCATGAAGCCCGACATCCATGGAAGGACTCCATTTATTCTTTTTCTTCATTTTTTTAATTAAGGTATTATATGTGTACATATCTTACCATTGTCCACTTATTCTTTTATTCATTCAACTGCCATGGATTGAGCACCTTATTAGTTAGGCTTAGGAACCAGGGATCTGCAGTAAATCAGATAGATGATAAGGCAAGGGGTCTGCCGTCCTCAGAGTTCACTGAGCAGCAGGACAAAGAGGATGGGCTGTTGGTGTGGAAGGGAAGGAGGAGGGAGGGTGTGAGGGGCGAGAGGCAATGAAAAGGTGCGCTTCTATCTCCAGGTGATGGGACGCTCTTGACTAACTCCTGTGTTGACAGCTGCAGAATTACAGCCAACTGGGCTCGTTGAGAGGCAGAGAGGCAACAGGAAACTGTGAGAGGCAGGAGGGGCCTCACCTGGAGAGAAGAGAAAAGCCCCAATTCCAGCCGGGACCGGTTTGGCTCAGTGGATAGAGCATCAGCCTGCGGACTGAAGGGTCCCGGGTTCGATTCCGGTCAAGGGCATGTACCTTGTTTGCGGGCACATCCCCAGTGGGGGATGTGCAAGAGGCAGCTGATTGATGATTCTCTCATAGATGTTTCTAGCTCTCTGTCCCTCTCAATTCCTCTGTATGGAAATCAATAAAATATATTTTTTTAAAAAGAAAGAAAAGAAAGAAAAGCCCCAATTCCAAAGCTGCTGGTCTCCAGCTTGAGGGCTCTGAGGAGCATGGCCTCCTTGGGCCCAAGCGTCAAGTGGTGTCCACATATACACACACACACACACCACACACACACACATCACACACACCACACACACACCACACACACACACACCACACACACACGCCACACACACACACACACACACACACATCACACACACACAAACCACACACACACCACACACACACACACACACACACACCACACACACCACACACACACCACACACACACCACACACACACACCACACACACCACACACACACATCACACACATACCACACACACTCACATACACACCACACACACACACACACTCACATACACACACCACACACACACACACCACACACACACCACACACACACACCACACACACCACAGACACACACATCACACACATACCACACACACACCACAGACACACACACCACACACACACACACACACACACACACACACACACACACACACACCACACACACTGGACCCCTGAGTCGCTGCACTGTACCACCTCAGCTAACTCCTCTGTGACCTTGAGGCCAGGGACTATCGACCTTGACACTCTGCACTGTGTCAAGCCTAAAGCAGGCGTTGTTTTGTTTAGAATGGTAGAGGGTGTCTAATACAGCTGGGACAGTGAGACAAGGACGGGCGAGGGCAATGAGCCTGGGCGGGCTGCTTTGGCTCACTAAGAAATGAGAAAGGAGGCCTTGGGCACAGGTTCGCGGGGTTTGCTGGGATGAACTGCCGCTGCCCGTTGCTGCCCTGGTTGCGAGCCTCCTGGGGTCCCTTAGCGTTTAGGAGGTACATGCCTGTGGGGGGAAGAAAGAGGAGTGGGGAGGCAGGGACATGCTCCCAGGAAGGAGAGTGCACCCACACAGCAGGCTTTACGTGAAGATACCCTATGAGGGGAGATACAGAAAGGGTCAGTTGCTTTAGGCCGAGACTGGAAAACCAGGCTGGGGAAGAGAATTCACTCAAGATTTCTTGACCAGTCAGCTGTAAACCCTAGTAGAGTGAAACCCCTTAACTCCCCCCAGCCTTCTGCCAAGGAGTCTAACACTCTCTGTGGTTACCAACGGGGCAGACAGAGGAAAGAGGAGATCCTATAGGATGTGGAACTGAGGTCTTGCTAACAAGGCTATTGTGAGTTGAGTCACTGCTCACTCCCGCCTGGTCCAATGAGTCAGAATTAGTCGGAGGCATCTCTCAGGGCAGAAGGTATCTGGGAATGCCATGCCTACTTGCACCGACAAGGCCCCAGCCCCTCTGTATGGTGTAATCTCTGGTCCTCGCAAGAACCGTGCTAGCACCCTGGTTAGCACCACATCTGAACGATGGCATAACTATTCTTCTTGGCCAGGTGCAGACTCGAGGAGATGCAATCTGGAGGTCTCTTTCACCTTGTAGTCACCCTTGTATGGGGTTGGGTTCCATGTGGCATGCACTCACATAAACGACAATGTCAATGGTGCCCCCTGGAGTTGTGCAAAGCAGTGGCTTTGACTCCAGATAAAAATTTCTGTTTCTGTCCCCATCTTAGGAATGTGGAAGTAGTTTCTCACAGAGGTTAGGTAACTCGTCCTGAGCTACCTAAGCTACTGAAGCCTCAGATGAGTCTGGTGTCAAAAGCTGTTCTCTTTTGACTCCATCCCTCTCTCGGCCTCCCCTCCGAGCCAGCCTACCCTGGAAGGATGAATAGGAATGTTATGTTAATGGCATCTGTCACGTCCCTGACTTATCATGGGACATCCACGATGAGCCAGATGCCGGCAGACGGGCAAGGACGTGAGTGATGGAAAACAAGTGTGTGAGTGATGGAAGCTCGGCTCTCACCAGGAAATGAGGATGAAAAATTTCTTGGCCAAACACTGTCTGAAGCTGCCGGTTTCCTCTCCCAGGAAGATAGTCACCATCCTGCCTGAAGAGGTTGGGGATGGGGACAGCCCAGGCCCTCTGAGCACTCTTGCCAGGGGATACAGAACCAGCCCACAGCCAGTGCCACCCCCAGAACTGGACTCCTGATAGATTCCTGGCCTGGGGGCTGTCTCTGAGCTTTGGGGTGTCATTGTTACTGCTCACAGCGCCCGTCTTAGCCTCGTCCCAGACTCAAGACATTTGTGGACTCTGGGGAGAGCCCCATAGGAAAAGGCTGGCTCCAGAGCTTGGGCTGGGAGTGGGAGGGGGCTGAAGCTTACCTTTCAGGGGCATTTAGCTTGATCACTCTGAATCCATTCCTGGGTCTGCCACCTACCAGCTCTGTGACCTTGAGCTTCAACTACTCTCTTAGCTTCAATTGCTTTTGCCAATAAAACAGCCTGACATGGGGCTTGTGAGCGTCCCTGACCCCTGAGTTAGCACAGGGCTCTAGAGCCAGGCTGTCTGGGTTCAGACTGGTACTATCGCTTACTTGGTGACTTTGGGAAAGTTACCCAACTTCTCTCTGCCTTCTGTTTTCTCACTTATAAAATGGGGGTAGCGCCAAAACCGGTTTGGCTCAGTGGATAGAGCGTCAGCCTGCAGACTGAAGGGTCCCAGGTTCGATTCCGGTTAAGGACATGTACCTTGGTTGCAGGCACATCCCCAGTAGGGTACGTGCAAGAGGCAGCTGATTGATGACTCTCTCTCATCGATGTTCTTAACTCTCTATCTCTCTCCCTTCCTCTCTGTAAAAAAAAAAAATCAATAAAATATATATTCTTAAAAAAATAAAATAAAATAAAAAAAATGGGGGTAGCGGTAGTAATTACCCCTTACCATTGTCCTGAAGATTAGACATGTACACAGGCTATAAAGTGAGTGTACAAAATACGGGTCCTGTGAGCTTTGGTTATTATTCCCATTGTGCTGGAGGATGCTTGGGACTAGCGAGATGGTGGGGGAACAAGACAGATCTAGTCCTTGCCTTTACGGGATCTGGACCAACGATCGAAAGAGGTGATGTTTGTAAAGCACTTAGCAGGGTGTCTGGCCTTGGGGACTCAATACATGTAACGCTTGCTATTACTATGAATGGGTGTCAGGCCCTTCATCAATTTAATCCACTCAACTTCTCTGACAGGTCAGAAGTTCTGTCCCCCAGTTACAGAGAAGGCCCAGGGAGGCAGATGAGGGCGAGGGAGGATGCCATTTCCGGCCCTGGCCATGGTGCTGGTCGTTTTTAGCATCATCTGCAGCAAGTCACGTTCCCCTATAGCTGTCTCCCTGAGGCACTCCCCAGCCACCAGCAACCATTTTTGGAGGGAGAAGGGGCGAAAAATGCAAGAAAGAAAAAGGACCTGAGTTTGAATCAATAATTGCATTATGAATCTGTCACCTATGACTGTGTTTCACTTTTTTTTTTAACTTGGATCCTGATTGTTGTGTTGTTGTTGTTTTTTGTTGTTGTTGTTGTTCTTTTTTTAAAATATATTTTATTCATTTTTTACAGAGAGGAAGAGAGAAGGATAGAGTTAGAAACATCAATGAGAGAGAATCATTGATCAGCTGCCTCTTGCACACCCCCT